GCTGAACTTGATGAAAGATATCACGATTTATTAATAAAACCAAATGAATATTTTTTCAATAATATTCGAGTAAATAAATACAACTTGAGAAGAAATCTTGAAAAACTTGATCAGCCAGTGAATAAAACTACATGGATTATGACACCACCGACTGTAAATGCTTATTACACTCCAACAAAAAATCAAATTGTTTTCCCAGCTGGTATTTTGCAAAGTCCTTTTTATGATATGAAAAATCCGAGCAGTTTAAATTTTGGAGGAATGGGGGTTGTGATGGGCCATGAGCTTACCCATGCTTTTGACGATCAAGGTAAATTCTAGGTCTAAAAGAATTTATGGATTAAAACTTTTTGTGTAGATGCGATTACATTTCGTAATTTATTTGAAAACAAAAATGTCACGATTCACAGCAATTATAACTCTTATAAAAATGATGAAATAATATAAAATAATTTAATTTTTCTAAGGGCGAGAATATGATTTACATGGTAATTTGCATCAGTGGTGGAACAATGCTACAATTGACAGATTTAAAAACAGAACTGAATGTTTTGTCGACCAATATAATGAATTTGAAATTGAAGATCATCACATAAATGGCCGTCAAACCCTAGGTAAACAAACAAAACAAGAATTTTATTTACTTAGTTTACTTAATATTATTTATGTTATTATTTTCTTCGTAAGAATAACAATAATATTATGATTTGTAAGATTTTGACATGCAAACAAAATGTGAAATCCAATATCGCACATCACATATTCAACGCTCACTAGCACAATAATAATCGTTTTCTTTAAACTTCTTACTGAAACTTGATAAGTTAGAATGGCTATTTGTAATATACAAATTTTTCTAAGATAATTAATAAAATCTTCTTTTGATAAATTGTTTAGAAAATTCATTCTATTTTCAGGCGAAAATATTGCCGATAATGGCGGACTTAAAGCTGCGTATCACGCATATTTGGAAACTGTTAAAGATTACAAAGATCAACTGCCATTACCAGGACTTAATCTTACTCATCGGCAGTTATTTTTTCTTAATTTTGCTCAGGTACAATTACATAAATTAGATGACATATTTTAGCATAACGTACCGATAAAATTATTTTATTAAGCATGAAATATTTTTATGTATGATTATTATTATTATTATTATTATTATTATTATTATTATTATTATTATTATTATTATTGACATTTATTAGAAATATTGATAGGATTGTCTTCATTGTTATTATATTTTAGGTATGGTGTTCAGCTGTGACATCCGAGGCAATCGGCCTTCAGATTGAAAAGGACTCTCATTGTCCAGCTAAATTTAGAGTTATTGGACCTTTATCTAATCTCAATGAATTTTCTGTGGAATTCAATTGCCCGAAGGGTGCAAAAATGAATCCAATTCATAAGTGCGAAGTGTGGTAATATAATTGTCGTTCTTCCATTTCGTGAGAAATTTTGAAGAAGAATTAAAGCAACTTACATTTACATTTTATTGCTTAATATACTTCATGGGTAGAAAAATAAACGAAGATAGGTAAATTAAACAATAATGTTATGCATAGTATAAAATGAATGATTTATGAAAATGAATATTTTTTCCTACAGAAATTATTTATAGCATTATAAAAGAAAAATAATTCTGTATCAAAATGTTGAGTAAAATATATAATTTTCAAACGAACTGGTAAATTTTATGTCTGCGTTTTTTGAATTATTGAATATATTTATTGTAATTTGTTCTTCTTATATATTACAAATGTTTATAATTAAAACTGTAAGCGAATAATAATTACCGCTGGCATTGCTGTTTACTTTTCACTTTTATACTGAATAAATAATAATGTAGTGAGTTTTCATTTGTCAAACAAAGAATTATAAAAACTAATAAGCTGTGACATGTGGACAAAGTAGGGACTCTACGAAACGATTGTTTCGGCTTAATATAGCATTTTTAGTCAAAGTGCCACTAAGTCACTTCTGCAGGCAGGATAAATTCTAAGCTTAAAAATATAAATATTTTATAATAATATCTATGTAATAAATATTAGTATTGTAATTATAATTAAAAATAACATGTAAGAATTTCAAAAAATTGTCCATTGAATGTATTTTTAATGATGGGAAATTTCATGATTGTACTGCTTTCATTTATTAAATTTTTTAAATTATTACTCAAATTATTTATACAAAAATTGGCTTTGACTAGCTTGGATATTTATGAATACAACTTCTCCGTTGTGTGTATACTGTGATAGTTGAATCAATTTAGATATTCGTCTAAGAATATACATTCCGAACAAAAATTTGTTTTTTAAAAATATATCTGATTTTTCATTTTGCAGTCTGATTTATTTTTAAATATTAATATTTAATAGTTTAATATATGTTTATATATATATATATATATATTGATCATGGTTAAAAAGTAGATACATAATAAAATTTAATTATAAAATATTAAATAGATTAAAAAAAAAACCAAAAATTAATATTATTTTAAAACATAATTTTAGATTAATTATTTTTCAATGCAAAACTATAATATATATAGAATATATTATTGATAATGTATGTTCAACCTTATAAATAGTTTTGTAATTGTATTAAGAATATTAAACTAGTGCATTATATAATAAAATTAACAAGTTGGTTTATCCATTAATATGTCCATTTTGGATGAAATGGAAGAAATTGAAATGCATAGAAAAATATATATTTTAAAACGAGCTCAGAATACAATCGTATTTCATAAATTGTATAGGATAAAAATGTTTAATTTATTTTACAAATGTCTCAAATTTATAAACATTTTTATATTAATATTTATAATACAGTAATCGTCATTGTACTTTCAATTAATTACGTACTATCTTATTTCACAAAATATGTTGTACAAATTTAATGTATGTATATAGAAAGAGTAATTTATATTTATTACTTTAGTTTTGCAATTTTTTATTTACCTCTTAAATATATGCAGCTATTATAAAAAACACGTTTCAAGTAATTCAATTGAAATACAATATAAATAAATAATTATAAGAAATAAAATACATCATTTCTGCATAACTTACCAGTGCGTAAAAGTTTAATATTGACAAATATTATCGATAAAAATGAAAAAAAAAAAAAAAAAAAAAAAAAAAAAAAATCAGGTTTAAAAGTATTGTTAGCTAAATAAATATATTCTGGAAAGAAAATATTGAAAATTTATTGGAAATACCGCAACGATTTATATCTTCTATAAGATTTGTAGGCCTTAAAGTGCGCCCAATAAATGTCAGAGTGTGTAAAATTGTTGAAATATTTTGATTGTCAAATCATAATAATTATAAATTATTTATAATGTATTAATAACATTTATTGAGTGCCATAAATAATGAATTTTCACATTAAATTATTATTTAAGATATATTTTTGTTCATAATTTATGTATAGTTTGATATAAAAATATAAAGAATGCATCAAGTAGGATTGTACTTATTTTTTTGGTAATCATAAACATTGTTCTTTTACGTTTAAATATCATTAAGTTTTTATATATGCCTTTTTATATACATAATCTATATTTTAAATTTGTTGTAATTTTTAAAAATTCATTATCCAATAATTTTGACGGTTTATTAACCAAATATACATTTAAATTTAATGTTTCAACTAAAAATGTATTTGTATAAAAAGATTTTTTTATTAAAAAATTTCTTTAAAAATAATTTGATTTTTCTTTTTTAATACTAATTTAATTTTAATACAAATGGTAACACTGAACATTATCATAATGATTAATCCGCTAATTAACAAACTCACGATTAACTTAAATTTAACATTTCAACTACAAACATTTTATACAATGCGCAATTATTGGTTAAAATCTAAATTGGATTTTTTTAAATCATTACAAAATTTAAACCATAAATTTTCAAAAATACAAATAACAACACTGAAAATTATCATAATAATTAGTCCAATAATTAATAGTTGTACATGACCCAATTCGACTGTCTGAAATTGATTAAATTGTACGTGTTTTAGATTCGGATGAAAAATCCATTTATTTTCTAAGTATTTTAAAATACCTCGCAGACGTAATAAGCTGCATAAATATAACATGAATTTAATATAAATTGTTTTAATTACTCAATGGCGTATATTTAAATAAAAATCGTTACAACTTACTATTTATTGATAGTTTTTCGATATTTTGAACCTCTATAATGTAGAAAAGATATCTTTGAGTTCCAATAAGTGCCAGGAATTTTTACAATCTGACATTTATGACGAACATGTTGATATTCTTTTAAAAATACATCCGATGCTTCAACATAAACAAATCCTGATCGACAAAGCATATCTCTCACTTCTATCTCATTTTCCATATTGGGACAATTTCGGTTTAATAATTTCCTCCATTTTTTCTTTACATCGGCCGGATTATTGCTTTTTATTATAGCCTAAATATCGAGAATTTAAACGTGAAAATTTTTTTGCTTCATATCGCTCGATACTTTTATGCGTAGGTAAATACAAATTCTGTACATACCCCCATTAATTCATCGTAGGCAAGACTTTTGTTTCTTACGCAAAGCGAATGAGTTCCCAAATTCCAGACATCTTCAAGATTACTCATGCCAACGTAAGGCACACGAGAAGCCAAATATGACGTTAGGGTACTATTAAAGCCACACGAAAGCAGCATCCCCATATTGAGTGCTGTAAGTGCACACAATCTCAGTGACCATGAACGTGGTAGATTCTGAAATCCTGTATGACTAATAAATCATTTAATCACATATTTATAGTAAGATATTATATAGTTTAATGGCGCGTTCAATAACGAAATAAAAAAAAAAAAAATTATCTTATTACGTGTTCTAAATAAATAAAAAAGCATAAAAAGTATCTGAAAGTATAAAAATAAAATTATATATTTTAAAATGGTTAATCCTTTATCTTTTAAATACGATCGGGATTGTTAAGATTATCACACACTTTGGATTCTTATTAATTATATTTCAGAATATTTAGAATAATTACATGTATTACAATTATATACGTATACATTGTAAGGTGAAAAAAGAAGTGAAAGACTAGCATTTAATTGATTTTACTATAATGATTATTGTTAAAAGTATCTGATATATTATAAAAGGATTTTAAATAAACGATTGTCAATTTATTCAGTATTCTCTCAAATAAACTATTTTGACTTCATTTTCTTACAATTATCCGTTGCTAATGAAAAAACATAAAAAGAAATATTTTAATATTTTAATTTCTAATAACATTTTATATTCATTGTTATGCAAGCAATTTCATATACTAATCATGATATTATTTTAAGTAAATTGAATTAATAAACAAATATTATACTATGTACTATAGTTATTCATTAAAGTCTAATAAGAACGGGTAAAGCAAAAAAAAATCTATAAGTTGCTCTATTATGCATAATAGTACGAATTAAGTTTGGAATTGTTCGTTAAATAGCTTATTTAAAAATAATAATAATGTTATGGTTTATTTAAATCATTTTTATAATGTTTATTGTATTTGTAAAGCAATCATCTTATACATTTACACGCTAATTATTACTATGCATATTTACAATATTGATATTATTTTTAACTTTAATTTAATAATTCTGAAAGTAATAGTTTGTATGTTAGTTGCTCAATACTACCTATTTGTTGAATATAATAATATATGCATGAAATATCATATATGATAGTTAAAAGATTAACTAATTTTTACATAAAAGGTACATCAACTTAGTAAATGTTAAGATTTATTTAATTAATTATAGAAAGTAGATATTTATATTTTTTATAAAAATTATTAGCCAGTAGTATATGAAATCACAGTAAATAGTTGAAATACAATGATTAAATTATGTGTAAAAGTTATTATGCAAAATTTGAAAATAATGAAAATAATGAAATTCCATTTTCATTAATAATGATAAATTCATGTTTTGTTTTCATGTATGAAGTACTTTTTTATGTATCCGTAATACCTAATAATATTAAATTAATATATCAAATATTGATACAAATTGCATATCATAATTAAATTAGTAAAAATGTAATCCACTTATCGAATCTATTTTTTAAAATCAGCCATAATGTATATGAGTAACGATGAAAGATATAAAATAAATAAATTTGTATAAATTTGTATGAATGGGAAAATAACGATTAATGCTATACAAGTAGCTTTTTACATTTAGATTGATGAAATTTTCAATATAAAAATTTGTTTCCGTTTTATAATAAGTCTGATCAATATGTATATTATATTAATTACGTATACTGTTCCAATCAAAGAAAGATAAAATGATAAGAATTATTATTATTATTATTATTATTATTATTATTATTATTATTATTATTGACATTTATTAATAATACGCGCATCAGAGAGCATATTCAATTTTACATGTAAAACATTTAATTTTCGAAACGCTATCTTCATTTTCTCTTTGATTTCATTTTAACAATGCTATTTAATTTAACAGTAGTAATTTATAAAGAAAAAAATCGCTATATCACGTTTATATCTCACCTTTGATCTCCTGTCCTTCTTTTATTTGAATTTTATATAATAATCATTTTTTACATAAAAATTATTTAGTCGTAAAAGCTAGTAAGTATGTCTGTAAAAATATGATAGCAAACCTTGACCACTCGTTGCTCCAAGAATGCAAAGTAAAGTGAAGGTCGGAAAACTAAATTCGTTGCAGTATTCAATTTGTTTACACCAATTTTTCTTTACATTATGAATACCAATCATAACTAGCGTTAAGACAATCACAAAAATAGTTGACAAAATCCAAACGTGCGTGTCAAATATACGGGTATACCACCACTTTGAAACGGTACTACCTTCCGAAAGTGCAAATAGTGAATACCTATGAAATAATTGGTATAATTTTTTTTATTTAAATATATATTTTTGGATAAAGTATGTGAAAATTATTTAATTGTATTTACGAATTTTCTCCTATAACTGTGCTATGTGCATAATATGCTGTAGTTGGAAATTTCATTAATGACGCTGTAAGTAAAGCATCAAACTCTCCAGTTTTCAAAATTGAATATTCATAGGATGAGTGGTAGATTGATCTACATAATTTTATTTTGACATTTCTATATTAAAAATTACATATCATCTATATCGATTCTTTATTTTAAATACTCTATAATTATATTTACCTAAATTTCAGTGCTTCTTGTACTATAGTCCAAACATCTCCAAAAAATCCAGTTACTTTCGTCTTATTGTCTTCGAATATCAAGTACGGACTCAACTATTGGTAATATTAGGTCAATTAAGAACTTAATGAATTGAAATGAATTTTATGAATTGTTGTTTGATTGAATTTACACCGTCAAATTTTTTTAATTCTTACACACATAATTATTATAAAAAAAAAAAAAAAAAAAAAAAAAAAAAAAAATAAAAAATATTAATTCTATAATAATGTAGATAAAAATGTTAAAAAATCTTTATTTATACATTCATTATTAATTTTATTAAATTTATATTCTCTTCTTAATGAAATCAAAGTGATAAGAAATTATAATATAAATTTTTTTCAATCAGAATGGTAAAATTAATCATATAAAATTATGAATTTGATAGCCGTAAGTAAATAATATATGGTTGAATTTTATAAAATCAAATTTTAGTTTAATAATTTTAAATATCTCCTAATAGATGAAATACACAATACCATATGTCGAATCTTAAAAATTAAACGAATGTATTTTTAGTATTTAATATAGTTTGTATGCAAGGTATTAAATATTATATAAAGCAATCCAATTCTAATAATTTATAACTTACAATACATTAGGTTAATGAAGATAATATTATATTAAAAATACTAATAGCTTTTACTTAATTTATCATAGATAAAATATCTTTAAACATTAAAATTAACAGCATTTATTAATATTTATCAATATTTATTTCTAATAAAAGATAATAAAAGTTAAAAACCAAGCCTTTTAGTTATTTGAATTCATATAAAAAATATTCATGGTTCGTAAGTTTTTAAAAATTTTTATTATATAATTTTAAAGAATATTACCTCGTCAACGGCAATATTTAAAACTTTTCCTCTCACATCTGTTGAAAAATCCACGGAACAGAGGGCACTACGATTTGGTTTAACATATTCAAGCATCTCAAATTCACCACTAATAGAATTGAAACGTTGAACTCGTTCAGGTCGTAGTAAATTATCAAATTTGTCTTCTCTTTGATGCTTTAAGAATGGTATACATGTTTCTGACAATGAACTGGGTATAATTATCTAATAAATAATAAATAATTGAAAAAGTTATTATTATTGTCATTCAAAATATATTTAATAGTTTTAACAATGTAAATTATAAATGTACAATGGCATTGCTAACTAATCATAAATTATGTACCAATAAAATATGAATATATTTATATTTGACAAACATATTTATATATATATATATATATATATATATATATATATATATATATATATATATATATATATATATATATATATATAACTAATATTGTGCTTAATTATTTAGAAAAAAGTTCTTATATTGGCAGTTACTGTCTAAATACTAAAATTCTTCCTAAAAAATATTTTTATCAACCTGCTCATTTATATAATGCCCGGCCTACATAAAAGAATTAAATAAGCCTTGTCATATATTATTAAGGGCTTCTAACATTAAAATCTAATGCATTTGTTCGCGTTATCGATGATGACAAAGCTATTATTATAAAGGATCATGAGCTATAGAAAAAAAATCTAATGATAATCCATCAAATGCCATAATAGACGAAATACACGAAATTCGGAATGATTTTTCGTTAAAAAAAATTATTTAACAGAATGCAGCATAATAGAAAGCATTTTCAGAGTAAATTATCTATTCAATTTTCTTTCTTTCTTTCTTAAAAATTACAAAGTTTCAAAAAATAAAATTTTTATTCCGAGCAGCACAAGTATTTCACTAATGCAATATATAAAATATTAGTTTCTATTTTCAACAAATATTTAATTAAAGTAATTTCTAAAAAAAAAAAAAAAAATACTAGCTCGAAATTGATAATGAAGAAACTTCTAATAATGGTAATTATAAAAATATTAATCTCTTAAAAAAACAATGGTAAAATGTATAATATAATAATTTTTTTTTACAAAACTGTTCATAAATGTATTTTAATTGTTTGTATGAATTTATATTTATACGTATACTATTGTATAATAATTATTGGTACTAATATTAAGGATCTTACCATTTTTTTACCCAATTTTTAAATTCTCTTTTTCAATTGTACTTACATCTCTTTTATATTTAATAACGTTTCTTGTTTAATTTTGATAAATAGAAATAGAAAAATATTTTAACATAAAGTTTTATATTAATATAATACCTTTACATTCATTTTAAATATTGTTATTTAAAATTCATTAATTTATCATTAATTTACAAAAAGTATCCATGAGATTTTAAGCAATTAAGAATTTATAATCTAAATATGTAATTAAGAGTATTAATTATTTTATTATTTTAAGTAAGAACATAAAAATAAAGATCAGTAAAATTTACCTGTCAATCAAAATATTTTTTAATTTTAATTTTTCATCTCATGCTTTACGGGAAAATATGATAATAAAATAAATAATTTAATAAACAATTATATAAGGTTTTGATATGAGCTTAACCAAATTTTTGTATTAATTAAACTTTTCTCTGAATTGAATCTTTCATTATGTTTGGTCTTCCTTGTTCATAAATTTTATTTAAAGTCCTTTGCAAATTATTATTTTTGAATAAATTCATAAACTATTATTAATTGATTACTTTTTTTCCTACTTAAATTATAATTTTTATTTAAATAAAAAATAGTTTTCTTTTTCTTACTTTTTTTCTTATTTTTACTTTACTTATAGTTACAAGTATTTTTTAATTCTGAGACTCACATTAATGACAATATATATATAACTGAGTATCTGTAGAAATAAGGTATATTAATTATTCACACATTTCTTAATAATTGTGCGTTTCAGTAGTTTATACTATTATTACTACATACTATTATTTTATTTTTATTTTTTCATTTATATCAATTTATATACTTTGATTTACGTTATAATTTTATTCTACATATTCACATTCACATGGATTGTAATTAATTTTTCTTCTTAAAATACTGGTTTATCATACTTTCTGTATAGTGAAACATTAAAAGCTCATTCATTGTCACACTAGTTTAGTCAGTAATATAATCATCTATATAAATTGAATTACCATCTACACATATATAATTTAAAAATTAAAAATTTCCTAATGCACAAATTGCACTAACAATATTTACTAATTAATAGTTTGTTTTTAAAATGTTTTAAAATATTTTAAACTGTTTGTAATAATAAAAAATCGATAATTGTTTATAGCTACATAGATGATCACAATGAATATGTTTTTCATACTAGGCTTTCTTAAGAAAATATTTCTATTTTTTATTTTAAGTGCACTATAGTGCAAAAATCACATATAATTTTTTGAAACTCAAAGTTATGATACGTAAAATCTTAAACTAAACTTTTAAATTCAATTTACTAGTGAATTATTAATTCTATTAGAAAAATTGAACAATCTCTGCAGTTATTGGAAAAAATTATATGCAAATAAACATTTTATTCTATTAGATTATTTATAGGTGGAAAAAGCAGAGAGTAAATTGTCTTCTTCAAATTAAAAAATTATGAATTTTTTTTGTAATATATTATATGTAATTAAACAATTCCAATGGTTTATTATTTTTTTTATATGGTTTAATAATCATTTTTAATATGTTTTTTATTTTTTATAACTTACTTTAAGTAAAACTTATATTCCATTATTGATTCGTGCACACATACCATAGCATAAATCATAATTAATGCTAATTTTGCTTATTATTTCAATTTATTTATACTATTTTAATTATATATAATGTATCATGTATGCCTAAAATTACAGTTATTTAAACAAAAAACAGTATGTTAAAACAGAATAATGTAATATGCTTACGAAAGGACTGTATTAAAATATATCTAATTTTTCACGTTTCTATATGTAAGATTTATTATTTATATATACATGACTTATTTATATTCAAATTTTCTTGGATCTACTTAAATAAAAATTTGTTGAAATAATCAAATAATCAATAATAAAAATTTGCATATTAATATAATTCGAAGAATATTTACATAATCGGTAATTGAACTTAAGTGAATTGAAATAAAAACAGTAAATTATTCATGATGGGATAGGTTTTAGTGATTATACATATTTATATTAATAATATATACACTATTTATATAATACATTTAATAACATTAAATATTATTATTAAATTTAAATCATCTCGTGTATCATAGATAATAGAAAGAGATTACATGTTCAATACTACAAAGTCATAAGCTTTTATATGATCAGTTTATGTAAAAATGAAATAATTAATGCAATATAAATTAAATCCAAGATGCAACGTTATTATATAAAATAATTATAAATATAATGTTATTATAAAAAATAATTAAAAATATCGATTAAATATATTTATTAGATTGTGATTAAAAGGCAAGCAAATAATTTTTATCATGTATATTATTTATATTATTTATATTATTTATATTATTTGTAGTAATTAAATTATTTATATTATTTATATCTATTGTATTATTTATATATTATAATAATTTAATTATATGTATTATTTACAAATTATTAGACGTATGTATCTTGTAAATTATTTATGTTAGAATATCAAATAATGCAATAAGTAATTATAATGAACATGTTTTTCAGTTTTTACATATTCAATCCATTTAATATGCAATATGTATTTGTATTTTAACAATGAACTTGACAAAATATACAAGTTTTTTATAAGTATAATGTAATGTGAAATGGCAATTAATTAATTTTTAAAAAGATTTTCTGGATTTCTTAATTTTCGATGAATTTTTCTGGTACTTTGTTGTACTCATGCATGTATACATGTTCTCGTGTAGTTTCAAATCAGTATGAAATATATTCAAGCATTCATTTTTTTTATAATTTAATTAAAAATAAATTGAATTTTTATATTAGAAACGTATTTTTAACAAAATTAGGTCGAATATTGTCCATTATATTTCTTCAAATCTTAGTAAAAATGATATATTACGTAGTTTGACTCTAAATTATCTGTTATGATCCATTGTTATATTCGTTAGGAAAGAGAAGATATCCGAATTTCAAAGTCATAATAATAGAATACATTGATAAATAAAGTTAAGATATTATAACAACATATACATTAAATGTCGTTTCATTTAAATTTGTATAGCAAATATGTAGATCGTTAAGATTGTTTTCAATTAAATTATTATCTATTTATTTTTTTATTGTACACTATATATTATAACGTGTACCGATTGATAAATGTCCAGCCGAGAACTATGAAATAAAAGTATGATTATATATTAATTATTATTATATATAATTCTTTTTATATAAATTTTATAAATAAATATGGTTAAATTATTTGTTTAATATATAATAACAATATGATCGCTGAAGAATATGATTTTTTGTTAATTTAGATTCTTGTTTATGTATTATTTTTTAATGAATGATTAAATTAATCTATACCGAATATTAAATGTGTTATTTCTTTAAACGTTATTTCCCCTGCGTTCCACAGCACAAAAATTGTTTAGTCGAGCAATTAATTTCTTTTAGTTTAATTTAGAAACAAATCTTCAAGTATTCTAAATTGATATTAATATTTTACTAAAATGTCACATAAATTTAATAAATATCCTGGGAAATCATTTGAATAAATTCTTTTGAAGACAGCCATTTTTTATCTTATTGTTTTATGTTAATTATCGTAGCTTTTAAATTGTGGTTTCTTTTATGTTCTTTCTTATTCTATGTTCACGTTAAATACGTAATAGTTGAAAATCCAAAAAATCTGTATATTTTAATAAAATACACTTACTTGTTACTTATCCTATACTTCTGAAAATAGTAGTTTAAAGATGCTGGTCTTATTAATTAATGGTTATTATAGTGCTATCGAAAATTATTTTTCCTGAAGCGGCATACGTCTCAATATTTACCAGATTGCTGATCTCTATATTTTCATATATATTTGTCTTATCTCTGTTTTAATATATTTTTTTGCTCAGTCGTGATTGATTTTTCATTTATCTTTATTGTTTAAGTTTATCTTCGATTCCACATGAATCATCTTATGCGAAGTTATATTCATCGATTC